TGTCAGTGGGCAAATGTAAAAATCAGCAGGGGATCAAATACTTTTTTCCCTCACTGTACTACCAGTACATCTTGATTTACTGTGGCAGTAACAAGATATGAAAAAATAAACATGAACAGTTATGTTTAGGTAGCACGGTATATATTTGGAAAACCCGTAGAGATTTGCAATCTAACAGAGGACGTGTGCATTACATGGTATTCTGGACATCACATTTTTTAAATTTCAACAGAACCAAGTATGATTAAAAATGTGTGCCAGATGGAACCGTATTCTAAATCAGCACGGTGCAGTTCTACCATAATATAACCATGTTATACTGGTAGGAACCTCCTGGTTACACCAGCCCACAGGGGATTATTGTGTCCGTCCGTCTGTCGTGCATCCAAAAATGGGAGGGGTGGGGCTGGGTGGAGAGGGGAGAGTGGGGAGGGGCTGGGTGGGGGGGCTGGGTGTGGAGGGTGGAGAGGGGCTGGGTGGGGAGGGTGGGGGGTGGGAGGGGTGGGGCTGGGTAGGGAGGGGCTGGTCACCCCGTGGTGCCCTTATAAAACTCAACGTTTAACCTACTCACGCCGGCTTGTGCCCGCCCTCAGTCGGCCATATTTGCGGAATACACCACGCCACCGTTGACCCTGGCCATTGACCGAGCAACCCAACGTTCCTACCAGCTCCCTCCGCAGGAATGTGTTACAGAACAGCCCTCAACACAAACTGTGGGTCGTTAAGTGAGGAATCTATTAAGCTTATATGCTTGTATAACAATGTACCATCCACATCAGGTGATCCTCATTTCATCTGGTGGCCCAGAATCGAGTGGGAATTTCACTTTTATATTTGGGAGCCATCCTTTCCACACAACTACTTGTGCTGTCTCACAAACCGTTATCAATTGTATCGACCCTGGAGGGATGATAGGCTGAGTCGACCGCCGACAGGGAATTATATTTGCAGCATCACAATTAAAGGTTAAGGACCTCCACATTGTACTTATCACCAGAACTAATTCAGTCTCTCTTGTTGTTTCTCTGAAGACCAGACGAAAAGAAGCGCCCCATCAACGGCAAACGGATCAGCCCGTGCACCGTCTCTCCGAGGAAGATTCTGGAAACCCGCAATAGAAATTTCATAAATTTTCTCCGCGGGTGCCCTCAGTAAGAGACCCGTTACTATTGTTTACATTTAACCTCGTAAAAATTGTTCAATACTAGCGTATATACCCGGCGTTGCCCAGGATTTCATTTTCTCATAGGTACTATTTGTTAGAAAAACCTTATTTTTATTATTTTATTATTTCCCTTCTACGTGACTTTACCGAAAGAACCAAGAAGATTAATCCCTGCAGTCACGAAAGCTTTAAATCGAAACCTTAAGTTAGCTTTAGGCTTTTCGGAAAGGCTCCATAAGAAAGGTGAAAAGAAAAATGCACGACATTAATCGATTATTTATTATTTTAAAAAGTTTTCTTATAAAGACAACACAATTTTTTGTTCTTCTTAAAAACTCATTCCGAAACTTATAACTGTGCGTGAGAACAACATGGCGATTCCTGAGCAGAATGATGGGTGACAAGATGCCGACGGCGCCAATAACTATGTACCTAAAGTTTAATATTGCCAAGGTACATGTTGCTTGTGTAGCGCCGTAGATGGGCCGCACTTACCTGCAATAGTGGACAGGGGCCATCTAGGGCAGTACCTTGTACCACCAGGGGAGGGGCTGCAGTGCCAGCCCAAGAGGGGAGGGGCTGCTGGGGGCTCAGGATCCCACACAACTAAGCCCCTGGGCGCCCCCAGCTGGGGGGGGGGGGGCTGCGGGGGATCTGGGATCCCACACAGCCCCACCCCTCGATGGCAAGGGGTATAAAGGCACCTCCCCACCCGATCGGGACCAGTTGAAGACCGAAGCCAAGAGCAGCTAGATAGGACCCTGAGACCTCTAGCCCCGCTGTGCTCATCAGGGCCGGGACTCTGTGCGGCTCAGTGGCGAGACCCTGGGAACCTCCGGTCCGACGTCCTTGTAAGGGCCAGGTCCAGTGGGTCTGTGTTTGGAACCCGCACCCTGGCTAGGGCGAGCTAGAATAGCCTCCCCCTAGGCACCCGTAGCCGGAGGACCCTGAGTGTAGCCCTGTGTTAGGGCACGTGAGCCCGGAGGCAGTACCTCCCCAGGCAATGGTACAGGAGGACCCTGAGTGTAGTTCTGTGTCAGGGTGAGTCAGCCCTGAGGCCTCCCCAGACAGTGGTACAGGAGGACCCTGAGTGTGGTTCTGTGTCAGGGTGAGTCAGCCCTGAGCCTCCCCAGACAGTGGTACAGGAGGACCCTGAGTGTGGTTCTGTGTCAGGGTGAGTCAGCCCTGAGGCCTCCCCAGACAGTGGTATAGGAGGACCCTGAGTGTGGTTCTGTGTCAGGGTGAGTCAGCCCTGAGGCCTCCCCAGACAGTGGTACAGGAGGACCCTGAGTGTGGTTCTGTGTCAGGGTGAGTCAGCCCTGAGGCCTCCCCAGACAGTGGTACAGGAGGACCCTGAGTGTGGTTCTGTGTCAGGGTGAGTCAGCCCTGAGGCCTCCCCAGACAGTGGTATAGGAGGACCCTGAGTGTGGTTCTGTGTCAGGGTGAGTCAGCCCTGAGGCCTCCCCAGACAGTGGTACAGGAGGACCCTGAGTGTGGTTCTGTGTCAGGGTGAGTCAGCCCTGAGGCCTCACCCACACAGCGGTGTAGGAGGACCCTGAGTCTAGTCCTGTGTCAGGGTGAGTCAGCCCTGAGGCCTCACCCACACAGCGGTACAGGAGGACCCTGAGTGTAGTTCTGTGTCAGGGTGAGTCAGAAGAAGCTTGGCAGCAAAAACTTATGCACTTGACTCCCCTATAAGCTGTACTCTGTTCTTAAAGACATTTTTTAACGTGTCGCCATAAAGTTGAAGCTTTGAGGCAGTGAAAAATGAATGTTAACAAAGTAATAATAGTTTGTGACGTAAAGTCCTGCTCACAATCAGGAAAGTTTGTGGGCAAAAAGACACATTGGCTGGACTTTGTTGTTACTGTGATAAAACATTGGTTAATGTGTACGCTGTATTTTTAAAAAAGAGTAATAGAAATGAGAAAAAAAGATAGATTATGCTTGAAGGGAGCTGTGATTTCGTATGTTATCTCACGCAGTGTCGACACGAAAG